AGACACCAACTGCTATTGCAACCCAAGTTAGCCCCAGCTGTAATATTGTAGAACTTACAGAAAGTGTGGGGATACATATGCATTATCGACTCAAACCTGATGAAACAATTTCCACTACAGCACCACTGAACGGCTTCACAATATTGATGCAAAATGCATGAAAATCCCAGTTATATTTTCCAATTTTCTCACAATCAAATAAGATAAATCGTAAGCAAACACTGCGCAATGATCTTGTTAATTGGATTCAAAATCACGGTGGAGGATGGTCTACTCAATCATATGCTGACACACGAAGAAAGGAGTTTATTATTAGCTTAACTGAAACTATTTGGTATATAGATATGCGCAATCACAAAAAATTTGAAGAGCGTAGTTATTATATACCTGACCTCTTTCTTGAGTTTTTTGATCGTGCAAATCCAGAATCATATAAGCAATCACGAAAACTCTTTGATGCTAATGAATTAAACTTACATTGCCAAGCCCTTGCTCCATATAGCACATCATCATGGATGTTAATGACGAATTTTAATTGGCTCCATGATGCATTTGATGATTTTATCATTGCTATCTCAGGTTATACTAAGTATTTACAACAGCATCGCAATATTACTGCTATTAATCATGCATCAGAATCACCTATATGATCCATTGATCAAGCTACAACAATTAAAATTCACAAGCGAAATACCTGGATTACACCTCTTGATAAATCCAAATATTATCATCTTGAACAAGTGCTTGTCAATTCGTCACTATGGAAACATATTGATATAGAAGAATACTTGCCAATTGATCCTGTGTAAGTATGCAAAAATATAATATATTTGGGCCTGTTTATAATAAAAATTCTAATGAAAAACTATATTTTAGACAAAGATTGCGTTTTATTCAGGGCTTATCTTGTGCATTTTTTTTCACTATTGGAGAATATCGATTTAACTCAGGAAATAACACTTTTAATATGATATCAATTTGGAAAATTGATGAAGATGCTAATGAAAGTATAATATTAAAAGAACATACACGAATAATAACTGAATTACAAGCTGATGCACCTCATTATCATACACGAACAATGAGGATGAATTATCTACGCACTTGTGACATGCTCTTGCCAAAAGCCAAACCATCAGCACTTCAGACAATTTATCAAATGCTAACAGGGGATATTTCTGCAGCTGAGACTGCAAATGAAGCAAAAGTTGATGCGCGTGTTAAACTTGCTTTAGAACTTGGAGATTCAGAAGTTGCTATTGATTTACGAGAACATAATGATGGACAACCTACTAAATATGATATCTTTTGGGAAGTTGCAGCTCAATTTCTTGCGGAAAAAGCAGCGGATGCTGTTACTGCTACAGATGAGTGAAGGCATGATACTATTGTACATCTTGCAACTGCAATTTCAGTGAATAACCTTTTAACTCAAATTGAACGTGAGTGTCCACCTGGAACATTAATTCCTAGCGCTCAATGGTTACGATTGCAGTTTTGGCCTAAGAATCCAGCAAGATTAAGTAGTTTACAATTTACTAGTCGCTTACCTTTAAAATTTATGATTCAAACACACCAGTTACGAGCTTACCACCCAGATGTTCATTATGCATCAGCACTTTTTCGTTATGAAAAAGAATTTGCTGTGAAGTTTCGCAATATTGCAAATCTTATTTTTTTAGATGATAAACATCGTTGCAAAGTTGGTGAACCAGGCTTTCCTGTTGCTGCTGTAGAAAGAGGGAAAAGTGTAGTTGTTGGTAAAGATACTACATTTGCAGTAGCAGATCATGATTTCACCAAAACAGGAATCATACCAAGTGTAGCTATGATATGTGATATACCCGAATCTATTAATGGTAATTTTTACAGGGGAAAAGTACATATTGGGTTAAAAGATCCAATATTTCAGCCTTCATCACCTCTCCGACATGCAACAGAACTTTACCATATATTTCTTAAAGAAAAGCTCTTTGATAAACCTGTGCTATGCCTATATACAGATGGTGGACCAGACCATCGCTGTACATATGCTAGTGTTCAACTTTCTTATATTTGCCTTTTTATTGCATTAGACCTTGATTATTTTGTTGCTGTTCGAACTCCACCACAACATTCATGAAAAAATCCTGTTGAACATATTATGTCAATGTTAAACTTAAGATTGCAAAGTGTTGGATTAATGCGAGATAAAATGAGTGGTCAATCTGAGGAATTAATGAGTAAAGTTGGTACAATGAATGATATCCGCAAAATTGCTGAAGAAAATCCTACCTTAAAAGAAGATGTTATTGCAAGCCTTCAAACACCAATTAATTTAGTTCGTGATGTATTCAACCGGCAATCTCTCAAAGATGAGCCTTTTAAAACGTTTGATGCGGCAACAGAAACAGAAATGGAGAGATTTTGGGAAGCAATTTGGCTTATTGATGAAAATGTTACTTATGAAGATCGTATTACAGAACATATAAAACGAAGAGTAAGTAAAAATATTAATAACAATAAAAATTATTTGTGAAAAAAACTGTCTAACATACTTTTGCTTTAAGCCACATTTGCAAGAATTTTTAGACCATTATTGTACAATGCGCCACTACTTTTTTTCAATTAAGAAATGTGGTGAACCAAATTGTACTATCTGCCGCCCTCCTCGTTGTCCACCAGAAGATTTTGTGCAACTTCATTGTCTTCCGGATCCAGTACCTGGTGAAGATTTACATTATAAATCATTTGAGGAATTATATGGTAAACAAACAACTGAAAATTACAGGCCCTCACTTAAAAATGTGAAGACTAAAGCGAAGGGTGAAAAAAAAATTACAAAAGGAAAGCATACTATGCCATTTTGTCCTTCTGCTGCAAGTGCAAAAAACGTTGGTGTAGTTGTAAATTGTGTTGAATGTACGTCTTTTATTCAGTGCAAAGAAATTATCTGAAAAGGATAGGATATTATTGCAAGAATTCTTGGATACGATTTTCTATACTTGCGGAATGTCATTTCATAATACATGCGATTTATCTATTGCTGTACCACCAAAACAACCAGATATACATGATGTTATAGAGGATGATAATGGAGTTGATGATCAAGAAAATATGCAAGAGGAAGATTCTAATGAAAATACAGACTCGGATATTGATGAAGAGGCTGATAATGATACAATTATTGATGATGGTGGAATTGATAATACAGAAGATCCTATCCAGGAACTGTTTTCAAGAGTCTTTGTTAATGACTCATGGTCCTGTACATCACAAGTGGAGAAGCCATACTTTTCAACTGGTATCTACCCGGACATTTGTATTGAATGTGGGAATTCAAACATTGATAAAGCAGAAAAAGGTGAACATCCACGTTGCAGTGAGTGTAGTGGTAATACTGTTACTTCAAAGAAGCGTCTAAAATGGAAACAGGGTGACAAAAGAAAGGGAAAGAAAAGACTTCAATGTAGTTCATAATTGTGGTTTTTTTTAAAAAAAATTTTTTTTTTTATTGTATGCTAGGCATTTACATAGCAGATAGTGTTACGTACAAATTTTAGTTTATCATGTGATATAGTTTAGCGCAATTTGATTGGTTAACGAAAAAAAAATAAAAATTTAAGATTCCCGTTCTGGTGAACCGGCCGGGATATGAGAACCAATTTTTTAACTTTATGTCGCCTAATAAAAAACTTGTAGAAAATTTATTTGATATTGGTCTGGCATTAGTCTGGCATTAGTCTAGCATTGGTTTGTTACATATATGTAGTTCGCTTTCTTTACAGTGTAGCGTGCTATAATCATGATTCAAATAAAAAATAGGTTTAGAATATATATACTTCAAATATCATATTTGTTTTAAACTAGTTTGTTATTGGTCTTTTATTAGTTTGATATTGGTTTGATTCTGAACTCCTTTTTTCCATATTCGAAGAAAAAATATACATATGAATGATAATTTCGCTGATGGCCGTCAGGAAAAAAAAAATCATAAAAAACTTTGCCTTCAAATAAATTCATATGGCAAACATATATACGCTAAATGAAATAAATAATGGGACACCCTTGGTATCTGGCAATAAACTTGGAGATTCACCATTTAATCGTTATCCATCTAGCCGAACTGAGCTTGAGAACCAACGTTTAAAACATGATCTAGATATCGCTTTAAGCTCAGGTATTCAGCTTGGCACTAGAAACAGTCTCTTGATAAAAAATAATGAGAGTTTTTCAGAGCGTGTATGCCAGCTTGAAGATGAGGCGAGAGAATTCAAAAATGAGATTAATCAAAAAGAGATTTCTCTTGCAAGTACTAGGAGCGAGATCGCTACAAAATTAGAAGAGATACAAGCTCTCAAATCAAGAATAGAGGAATTAGAGCAGGATGTTTCTTTGGTACAAAAGAGATTATCAGAGATGGATTTTCTTAAGCGTAAATCTGAACTGGAATACATAAAACTATCTGACGAAAATATTAGTTTAGAATTGGCAAATACGGAGTTAAAAGATACACTGGCCAAAAAAAAGGATGAATTAATGCGGGTGAGAGATGATTTACTTTCAGCACAAAAGGTAGTGATAGAGAAAGATTCTCTTCTTCAAGAAACTAATTCTCTTTTATTAGAGCATATTTCAAAAACATCCAGCGAATCTAAGCAAAATGAAGCGATTGGAGGTGATAAAGGACTGGAGAAAGGTAACGAAATCACTAGCCCCGAAATAACCTCAGAATCGCCTTATTCCTTATTTTTTCAGCATGCAATCATCTTCATAATAGTATTACTAATCATATACATCTTAAGGTGCGTATTCTCTCGTCTATATT